CAAGACAAGTTCACCCCCCTTTTTTTTCGGGTCACCTATTGTCTGAATGGTCAGCATCTCATTCCTTGTTATTGTTCTTGATTGTTGCCATCCTAAATAAAAACTTGTTATGCCTGACAAAGGAGTTTTTATTTTGTGACAAGGGTCCGCTCGACTTGATACAATATTTTGTGTTAAAGAAAATTATGATAAAGATCTAACAATGTTTGTAGATTTCATTTTTTTCAATACATTTTTGATAAGTCCTTAAAAAAGAACTACGATTCATACAGTTTTAAGACGTAAACGTTTATGATTTGTTATTTGATTTGTTATTTCTGCGGTTTCTTACCGACTGGGGCTTCTGAGCAGTGTTTCCCCGTTTGGATCTCATGATGTCCGTCAGAATTTGACCCATAGTGTTCTTCCCAGGCCATGCGCTCATATCGGTGTACAATGTACCTTTCTTATCTAGTCCAGACCCCCAATAGTCATCAAAGGCAGCTTCAACAAGTAGAGTGGATGACTCAACAGAGGAAAGCTTTTCCTTGAATTCAATCACTTGATCGAATTTGGTTTCGATGACCTGACGCATAACGTCGTCTCTCTCCTGCAACCAATGATCCGGAACGGTCACCTGTGAACCAATACGTTTGGCGTCGAGCGCAGTAGCGGCGTTTCTGACAGCTGATGCCTTAATGATGTCACCTGCTCGCATCGCTTTGCTGTATTGAAAAGCATGTTCTGCGGAAGCATGTGGAATACCAAAAACCGTGATATCACACGGGTAGAAGTTTGACATCACATCATCTTTTCCACTGAAAGCAATAATTTCCTTTGAAGTTGAGTCGTGTTTGGTACAAGCTGTATCTCCCGGGGAATGACCAGGGTTTTTGCAGACTTTACAACAAGCTTCATATTCGCAGTTATACCTTAAGTGGTCTTCCCCCCCCAACAGTTGGTACTCACCAAGTTCTTTTTTTTTGGTGGGCTGACCATAATGAAATATAGAGCATTTGAGACCTGCACATTCATTCTTAGGTAGAAACTTGCCATTTTCCATTCGTTTCATGTATACAAACCGATTTCCATTTAAAATTTCTGTCATTTTTAATGTGTTGGGATTTCGAATTTTTTCATATTTGATGTCAGATGTTAGTGTGGCACCTAGTTTTTCAAGCATGCTTTTGATACACGCGTCATCAACAGAGAGGGGGATCCCACGCACTGTCACGCGTACTACCACTTCGTTTGGATTCTCCGTCCCCGCGGAAAAAGGATTTGTATCAAAAACAGAAACTGTTTTATGTCGCAGTTCGAAACCCTCAGATATAAGGAGATTCCGACTTTCGCGCGATTCAACATAAATTCTCCATAGGTCTCTATCCTTTTGGATACATTTAATATCGGAAACAACACTGCCCACCGCACACGCTAAATTATAGTCTGTAATAGGATTACTCTTATCCGTCTGAATATCTCTATGTCTCAAGTAGACAGGTTTTAACATTTTTGTTTGCTCCAAAGCCATTGTTCTATGAAAACTTTGAGTGAGCTTCACTCACCTCTAGGTCTAGCACACGGTTGTATTAAACACAGTTATGACAACACAAAATAAACTTTTTTTTTTGTCTAATAGAACTTCCTAATGAAAAGAAAACACTTCATAAATCCACTGTAAACAATATATACACAAAAGAAAGCTAAATCCAAAGAAAATCCAAAGAAAAATTGTCAAAAAGACGGAGCGATTATCGGACACGTCTGTCGACTGCCCCGTCACGTGACTTCCAAGCTGTAGATTTGCACAAATTTAAATTCCTACAAAATTCACCAATATGGATTACCGTATAAGCAGAATTTTTAGCGAGGATTCAGTTTTGGCATTATTAACGAGGGTTTTGAGGTCGCGAAAATTGATAATTTATTCCGCGTAGGTTGTTATAGCTATTTTTCTGGACATTATAAAATTGTTAAAATTACTTCTCGCTAAAAATTTATACCAATTTTGGGGGAGAAATCGCTAAATTTGCGTTAGAAATTCTACTTATATGGTAATTTTATAATTTTTGTCTTTCTCCATAAAGTTATTCGATAAACCAGTAAAAAATTTAAACTCACAATAACGAAATACAGAAAAGAAAATTATCATTACTGTTATCATAGGTTCATAATAACTTTCAAATCATTCTCCAGGGTAAATTGTGACAGTCTAAAACCTTTTAAAGAAAAACGTCATCAATAATATTACCTTTTTTCCCTTCGATAATGAAATTAGTAGTAACTTTTTAAAGTTGTGTTCTGATTGTTAGATCATGCTCGTTATAAAATTTGAGAGAAGTTAAAACAAAAGAGTGTTCTAGCTTGATTCAATCTCTGGTTGTACTTTGCGTTGTCATATTTCATGCTGCCTGGTACACAATTCAGTTTAAGTCCGCATTTTATACTAATATATAACGATAAGAAAAATATGTTTTGGCACTTAACATTACAAAAAATTGTAAAGAAAAATGATAAATAAAAAGAATAAAAGAATAAATTGTACGATGTCTTTTTTTCATGGAAACTTGTACATCAAGTTGATATTTGATAAAAGCTTTGTCTGTTGTCTTAAACTCTAATGTACGTGTACATTTGCTTAAACGTTGGAAAAACGTACGTCAGTCTGCGATTCAATGGAGGAGCAAATAACTGTTTACAGATATGTGATTGCTTAATTTTACACTGCGGACTTCTCTGTTTTTTTTTTTTTTTCACTTTAATTGAAGAGTTTAAAATTCAAAAATAAGGAAAATATAACTAAAAATTATGCAGCTGCAATAAAAGTGCCTGTAAAAAATAAGGAACAAATACATGTTGAGAATACTGTTTTAAACATTGGCCTCTTCAAGACTATTGTGGTAAAGCTGTTTTATGAGTACTCTTCATTTACAATAATACATTTCAAAACAAGCTGACATCTATATCACACTTAATGCTGGTCTTGTACTTTGTTGTAGTGTTCTTTAATCATTGTGCAAGCGGCAGACTATTCTTTAACCTTTAACAATATTCATCAGTATCAATTGCCGGTACAAATATTCACCCTGCAAAAGGCGCGCAGAAAATAAGACATTGTAGTGCAAGTGAAATTGCAAATACTTCGAATTTTGCTTTTGCACACATTGCAATTAATACTATTTTTAATGTTTGTACATGTTAAGTAAAAAAATAAGAGATAAGAAAAATGTTTAAAAAATCGATTTTGGGTTGGGGGTCTTAAATGTTCAATTCATGAGTGAAAAAATGCAGTCCATTAAAAGATTTCTAAGTTGCTATCTCTCGAAAAATGTCCTTTCCAATAGGCAAAAAAGGTAAAGGTACCGAACAGTGATCGATTTAAAAAAATCTATTAAAAAATCTCTAAACAGGCCATAAAACACGGACCCCTGGAAATCTCAGAGGTATGAGTAGGTGCCTAGGAGGAGTAAGCATCCCCTGTTGACCGGTCACACCCACTGGAGTCCCATGAACTGATCAAGCAGACGTAATATTCCGTATTCATATTCAGTATAAAAGCAAAAGCCTTACAACTGGTTTGAATGACATGACAGCCAAAACACGACCCAATGATAGGCTACACTTGTGAACAAGGTCTTGAAAACCACAAAACTCACGAAATGCCAATCCTAATCAAGGCCGTTGAAACCCCGCAACATCAACCATCCGTCAGCAGTTAGCCTCGATTAAAAAAATCATCGCCAGAGAAAACACCATAGGCAGATGATAGAGAACGTCAATATATAAATAAGGAAAGTTGACGACGGAAAAGCCAAAGTCATTTCATTTGTCATACAATTTAGTTATAAGTTGCCTTCATCGTCCACAGCCTGCAAAACATCCAAACATGATACATTTGGGCAGACTCCGTGGTATCCTCCATCCCGAGTCCTTTGGATACATCGAGTCGAGATATGATTGGAAACAATCATTGCCAACCTGTAAAGTGTCTTCGATACATCCGAATGCAGAGCTGAAGACCACAGCATGTAGAAATCCTTGAATCAATTTTACTTCTTAGGAATATAAAAACAGGTCGGCTAAAAAGGAGCACAATTAGTTCCTAGCGAAATCCAAACAACTTGTCAATCGATTCTAGTAAAACATTGTACCGACTTATATGTGGGTCAATAGCAAATCTCTCACCTATATATATATATATATATATATATATATATATATATATATATATATATATATATATATATATATATATATATATATATATATATATATATATATATATATATATATATAAGTTTAACCTTTGCTGAACATCCGTCTTCAGTCATGCACAGCATCTTGGTTACCAAAACAAATCTGATGTATGTTACCGCCAAAATTTTACAAAGAGCAAGATTAATTGATTGTAAATATAACCACCTGTTTAATACTTGAAAATCTTTCATAAATATTTTGGGATCGGTTTTACTGTGGTTTATATAATCTTATTTAAATTCATCCATTTTGCACACAAAAATTGGAGAAGACGGGTCTACATAACAATACCTCACGATATTCAAGACAAGAAAAATACATGAATATTTATATTCATGAGGGGTTTTTTTATTGCAGAATGTCGATATATTACAAGACAAAAAATGAATAAATTCAATTTTTACTTGTGGATGAATTATGAAATGGTCATCAGACATTATATAGCACGTCATACACATATACTCATAACTTCAAAGCGTATTTAAGCAAGTGTAAGAATTGTCTTCAAATAATTGTTTTATTTAGGAGAGACAAATGAATAGAAATTGTTTTAAAATGTTAAGGATGAAAACTAGACAACACAGATTCATATTCTGAGACATAAAACTGCCAATTTACACTAAAATGTGCAGTACATTCAGTTTGACTTTCCCCTTGTAATCCTCAGCACAATTAGAAGAGTATATTTCCGTCCGTTTTAACAATCATATATCAATACGAAGAGCGGCTTATATACATAGCGGTGTTTTATGATGGTAACGGGAATGACTACAAGGTAACAGGAATGCATCTTTAATCCTAACAATTGATAATTACATACATTTCATTTTATAATATCACAAGATTTTTGACCGGTTCTATGTTTCTGAAGGTTTTTTTTAATCTCGTTTAAATATATATAAATTTTCATTTTAGCTTTCTTTGCCCCTACAATCAGTATCCACACCCTAAGAGTAATAACTGCACAGGTACGTATTACACAAGGACGAATTTTCAACTTTTTGATAGATCTTTTTCAACTTAATCTAAAACATATTTAAGCCTCTTTTTATGTGGTTGCGCGATATCGCTGAAATACAGTTATGCTTGTGTTTTATCGCGTTTTTTTTTTTCATTTTTACTACTAAGATAATTTGTGTACAAAAGATTTTTTTCATTGCTGTCCATTTATAATGTTTAAATACAGCTAGAGATATTTCCAGGGGTTTGTGTTTATGTCCAGTTCACAGATTTAATTTGGTTGTAGATTTTTTTTAGATCGATTATTATTCGTTATCTTCAAATATTTCACTAGAAATAGTTTTCATTTTAACTATGCTTTAGAATGCCCACATGGATCCTTTGGATTAAATTGTAAGCTGAAATGTCCCTCGGGATATTACGGAGCATTGTGTATGTCTGTCTGTGAGTGTCCTGTATCTGACTGTCATTACGTCAGAGGATGTACTACAGGTAACAGTATTATTCAGATATCAAATTTTTCTTATATCTCTGATAAAGATAAAAATACTACAGAAGCATCAAAATTATATAGAATATCATATGTTACAATGTACTTGTACTAGATTTTGATATCAATTTGATTAGAAAACAGCACCCATATTTCTTCGATTACACCTGACATAACAAATCAACCGTCTACAGTTTATGAATGGACGAATGAAAAGACAGACTTTCAAATCAGGATTACTTCCAGTCAGATTTTAGCAAAACAGAATCGAGTTCGATATGTAAATCATCATGACGGCACCTGGATAGCTGTAAGCTGCTCACTGATTGGATCTCTAGCAACACTCTTTCTGATTGGATGTCTTATGTACTTCTGTTCTCGGTAACCTAAGATAATAAAAAACTATTATGATTTTACCATCACATCATTTGACATAATGAATATTTATGTAAATGCTTCAATCAACATACATCTCTTAAGATACATTCACTGCCTCGATACAGAAAATGAAATAAAATGATTTTCACCTTTTATTTTTTCATGACAGCCAAAATGCAAGAAAATTTGTGTTTTTTTTTTTTCAGACAGAAGCTTAAGATGAAATTTCCGAAAAGAATACGAAGGATTTTATTTTCTTACATAGAACCAGGTGTGTTCATTTTATTGTTTAACTTAAATTAAGTGGATTTTTGTTATGGTAATACGTATAAATATACAGTACTTGTAGCATTCTGATTTTGTTATTTTTCAATAACAAAACTCATTTTCAGTCTATGTCTAACACCATATATAGAGCTAATCAAAAAAGGTGTTGGAAATAAGTACTCGAATACCCTTTTCATATTTATACGTTTTTTCTGTAGCTGAAAGTGTGAGAATGACATTAAGGACACATTTTCGGTTTTTATTAGACATTTTAGACAGGTTAGTGTTTAATCTCTTGTAGCGAATCCACTTTTTCCTCTGATCACCAATGATTCAACGCTTCCTGTTGAACTCAGTTAAGTCAATGCCCGATTTCTTGGGTGGTTTCCAAAGTAAATGTTTATATATGGTGCATCTTTAGATGATGAGCGTAAGAAATGCATTGGATTCTGTTATTGACTCCAGTTAACCACCTGATGGAAGTTGGGAATAACCCCATTAGACTAGTTTGCTTGATTCTAATTTGATTGAGGGTAATCATGGTTTCAGAATGCTTTGCAGCATTTAAAAGTGTCAAGACTCCTTAAAAATAGTTCTAAGGCACTTAAATTCAAACATTATATATATATATATATAATGCCTTGACAAATGCGTTACTGATAATTATATCCCTTTTCCATCGTGACACTTGAACTTAATGTATTCGATGATTTATTTAAGTAAGATTACTTTTCATCTATGTAGTAATTTGAAGATAACAGTAATCAAGCTCAAAAGTCCATTGAAACAAAACAAATCGGGAGCAGAGCAATCAGGGACCTCTAAAAGCATCAGAGGTGATATCAGGTGCAAAAGAGGAGCAGGCATCCCCGGTCGACCGGGGCATGATCGGGCAAACGGAAAAATTTGTAGATAATTCAGTGTGTAAAAATTGCCCAATAATTAGTATGAAATATTAATTACTCCCTTCAACAAATTACCTTACACTGATTACTTGGGTAATAAGTGCAGTGGAATATTCAAGACTTGATGCATGTATATTCATATATTACAGACCGAAACATGCAACTTATTCAGGAGGGACACCTTGAACAATCAACGTCTTTTCCAACATACCTATCTCAAGATGACGACCCATACACAGAAATACGATTTTCTCAGATTGGTGGTGCATGTTCAGCAACATGCACGAATACAATCTGCACGAACGAAAAAGACCATGAGATCTCCAAAGAATCCACACATGTTTCTAGAAATACAAATATATACGAAAAATGTTCATTTGAACCTGAGTATGACCATGTTAATCTGAAAGTGAAATCAAACACTCCTGAGTTGCTACATGGGAAGTGGGAAGTTGTATATGCCAAAGATCAGGAATATGTGTCTCTTTCTGATAAAGGTCGATCACTGAAAGAATTTCCCAATGATGATGGAAGCAGCAAGTCCTTGACATTACCCTCCAACTGGAAAAGGGTGAAAGAAAACTATAAATCACAACCACACTCATATAGTTTATGCTATGTTGAATCAAAAAATGAATCAAAGGATGAGCAAATTACAAATGATGAAGAAGACAACTATGTAGAATTAATTTCAGACAATCTAATGACTACAAAGGGTCCCAAATATAAGGAGGAAGGTCGACCCTACAGTTTGGCTCATGTATTGTCCTATAATGATTTGAACTCAGATGATGGAGTAAAATCAGGAGATGAGGTTTTTAGTATTGCTTCACCGGAAGTAAAGGAAGATGTGGAAAGCGAGAACCCGGGAAGTTTGAAAAAGAGACCATATAGTTATGTTAAAAATTTGGTAGAATGAGAAAAAGTTTTTAAAAAATACCGTTAGTAATTATTTTAAAAAAAATGCCGGAAGAGTTCGTATAAGATGCACTTATCAGACTAGCATTTATGACACTTGACTGAATAAGCATGCCAAGATGAATGAAAAGAATAAAATAAACTTTTAATATGAAAGTCATTCTTCAGTACTGAGTGATGTAACAATACATAGGTATCTTTGATAATATAAAGTCGATAAGTTAATGTCATTCTAATCTTTCATTGAACATGTATAATCTTCGAAATGTAAAGATATCGTTGGAAATTGTACGTATTGTTGTGATAATTGAAGATCTCCTGATGGAGGCAAATATCTGATATTCTGCAAAGTCTTATATATACTTTGTAATATTTATAATTTAAAAGTTTTGATTGCCAATGCACAAAAAAATCTTCACATTATTCTATACATATCATCAATCTACCAGCTTAAAAAAATTTATTCAACAGGGAAGAAGGGACAAGGTTTTAAATCATTTATTTGATTATTAAAACTATACAAGTGCTTCCGGTTTTTGTGTACATATCCTACATATCAACACATTTTAAAACCAGGATGATTAAAGTCACTGTAAACGGAAGAAGTATGAATTCCTATATCAAAAGTTACATACGAAAGTATGCAACTGTGTACTATTTTCAAAATCCATACTTACTTGAAATGTAAATAAACATGCAAAAGCACTAAGCAAAATAAACTCGCTTCCTTAATATTCCTTCCTTTCCTCTTTCCTTGAAAAAGTGCATAATCAGACAATTCTCAATTTACCGCCTTGTTTTTTTTTTTTTTTTTTTTTTTTTTTTTTTTATTTTGTAAAAACCTGAAATTATGAACATGCACAACAGGATAAGGGGAGATAACTCGTGATTGCATTTAAGAGGTCCACCTAACGTTTATGTATATGATTGTTTTGATTCTTCTTCTTTTATCTATAGAAAATCGTTCATACACACACACTCCCAAACATACATATACACATATTACTTGACATTTATTATTGTTTGGTTAATTAATTGAGTAATGATGAATTTCGTCGAAGAGTATGCAGGACGCTGGGCTTAATGTGAAGGGGATTTAAAGACTTTGGTGTAAATCAAATGTGGATTCTCAAAAAACTCCAAAGAACTTTTAGAAAATTTAAAAATGCATTTTTCCCCACAATCAACAATATATGATTTTTTCCAGCACTTTCTACAACAATTCCTCGAGAAAGGACACGACTTTTTAAATCATACTAGACATTTAGAAATGGAACAGGGAAAGTTTCTCATGATTAATCACCTGCAAAATTATTTTAAGAAAAATTATTCTGTATTAGTACAGGAGTACTAAGAATTTGAAATAAAATAAATACGGGAGTTCCTCATTGACCATCGCTATCAGCACAGTATTTTTCTATACGATTAAGTTAACTGACAGATGGTTGAAACTGAGTCCTACTGAAAGGAACCTGATTGGTTCTCTTTCATCTAGAGATGGGGACAGGGTAAGGTACTACTTGCACCGAATTTCTTCCCAAGGTTCCCATTGATAGATAAGAACCAGTTGTCTCAATCTTCTTCAGATTTACTTCACCCAGAACTTAAGTACTTTACAAAGATTGCATTGAAGTCTACGGAGAAATTTTTAAAAATGAAAATTCAAATAAAAAGAATATCAATAAATACTGTATTGAAAAAATTGACTTTTTTTTCAAGGTAAGATTTTTAAAATTGATATTTTCTTATTAATTAAAAACAGAGGGAGATAACTCTTACCAAAATTCAAGGTCATAAATTAGGACACATCCCACCCTTACACATTAATAGTAATTATGTATAAATAAACTGAGTATTCAACACCTACACATCTATAATGTATTCAATTTCATTGAATCTTTTGTTATTAGGATGTGTCACAATTAACGTCAAAACATGGTTCCATATATATTTTAACATACATTTTTTTCGCTATGTAAATAACCAACTTAATGTCATAACTGTGTTCCATAATATTTTATTTGTTCAGTAGATTTTACTTGGCGGGTTTAAATCCCGTGCCGTTTTGTAGTCAGTTTGGGTGTAGCAATTGAGTAGAGCAGATGGTCTTGACTTGCTCGAGTATTTATAATACCGTAAATCTGGAAATTTTTACTGTAGATAAATTTTAGCAAATTTGCGCGTGCATTGCATTCGCAAAAATATATTTCTTAAAAATAAATCAACAACAACAAAAATGAAAACAAAAAAATATTTGCTATTTTTAACAAGATGAACAGGTGTTCGTAAGCAGTGGTAAACCTGTTTATACTACAAGCTAATTACTCGTGATAATCCGTGCTTGAGAGTGCCTTCACTGCATTCAATATCGTCCCATGGTTTGACAGGCAGTATGTCTCTTTTAAATTATTTCTCTAAAAGCGAGGCCAGTTGTTTTATCTAAGAACAAACGTTTTTTATCTGAAGGTTAGTTAAAGCTGACATCGTTTTATATATTTTATGTACGTGCGTGATTTATTAAAATTTAAATAGTTTAGATGTTTTATCTCTTCTAATATTTTTATCTGATTATTGAACATTGGCATGGTTTAGTATTGTATGTACATGTGTAATTTATTGTATGTACATCCGTAATTTATTGTATATACATGCGTTATTTATAATCCGATTATTGAATGTTGGCATCGTTTAATATTATATGTACATGCGTACCACGTGCGTAACTTATAAACTGCTATGAAAATTTTCAGCGCTTTTTAATTTTAGCACCAATGTCAATTCGCAAAATTTTGAAACGTAAAAATTCATCAACAGCTTCTTGACCCAAATTCGCAAAAATAAATTGACGTAAAAATTTCCAGATTTACGGTAGTAATCTTCATAAAGTATTGACCAGACTTTCACATCTCTTCTGAGGTAAGTTTGTTTTATTAATTTAAAGGTTTTTATCTTATACAGTTCCCTGAAATGGTCAAGGACCTTAGTTCTTAATTTTGATGTAAATTATGTGATTGGGTAATGTGTGCATTGCTATCATTTCAAGTATTATTCTAATAGTATACAAGTATATTAAAGTATGTACTAGCTATAATGTATGGTGTAAAGTAGGTGCGTATAGTACGCAAAATTTCGTATATTTTCTGGAGTTTGCAGTTAAATGCTATAGTATTTGCAGTAAAATGCAGTATGCAGTAAAATGCTATAGTATTTGCAGTAAAATGGTAGAGTATTTGCAGTAAAATGCAGTATGCAGTAAAATGCTAAAGTATTAGCAGTAAAATTCAGTATGCAGTAAAATGTAAATTGTTCAGTAAATGTTATGATATGCACGAGCAAGAATCTAGTTAGTATATTTTAAATACAAATGTTATAATGTATGTAATTTACAATAATTTTGTAGATCCCATTTGATCCATGAAGCCATTCAACCCAAACAACGATCTTAAATATGTATATGGCCAATAAAATGTAATTTAGTCAAAGAACTTAGTACTTGTTTTCCTATTGTGTGGCGACCACTCGGCCTGCCTGCAACAGGATGAAATACCTTAACTTCTTTATTGCTGATACATCTACCTTCTAAATGCCTGCTATTTGTAAATACATGGTCGATATATCTAACTGTCTAGTTGAAAGCCACAGCAAGTATTTTTGTTTTCTCCTGTACAACGTTTTGAATAAATTCTGCTTCATATGAATACATAAATGGGTCTGCTAATAACGGGGCGCAATTGGTACCCACTGGAATTTAGACAATTTGTTGGACTCCGAAAACTACATAATTAGGTATTGTCAACCAAAAACTCAAACATCTTTTTAATGTCAACTTGTGTGTTCAATCAGAATCTTTTTAAACCACCCGAAATAAACCTTTTTATACCCGCACTTTCTTCAATTTACACAGTAGCCTATTCATCTTTAGGGAGATGGTTGTCCTGTAGATGTGCAATAAGGTTTCAAAATTTTCTTTTTCACTCTGGGGTCAAATGGTGGTCAAATATGGGATTTCATTTGAGATACTTGCATGTATACAGTCTCCCATACAGAGTTATAGTTCATTCCTCTCTCAGACATACAGTGAATGTATGCCCTGACAGTAGGGCCTTTCTGTTGTTAGCTAGACTCTAGTCAATAAATCCAGGTAAATCCACTTTTAACAAAATTCACTTAACACCACAAAATAGCTTGCCTATATGAAATATCAATTCTTCACAAAAAACCCACGTGCGTGCAAATCAAAGAGCATTGTAAAACTAGTATCACTGTTGTCGGAGAGGGTGCTTGTTACTCTAGGACGTTGCAAAAACGCCATCTAGAAATTTTCCAAAGAGGGATAGTCAAGGCAAATAGGAATGTGTATTTAGACGAAATCAATTGGGGTCAGACGGGTGGGTTTGGAAAGTACCCCCCCCCTTTTTTTATATACTGAATAGTGTTTTTATTCTTTCTTTCTTTTTTCAAAAAATGTTTTAACATCTAAAATTTTCAATTTCATCAAATTGTCACACGCTATAAAGTATTTTTTTTTTTTTTTGCGACGACATGAACAGATTTATCAAATTCCAAACAAAATGATTTTTTCACAAACGGAAAAACATTCCTAAAAAACACTTTCTTAAAAGAACTCTTAAATTTCAGACTGGTAAATTTGATAAATTTATTATTGAAATGCTTACACAAAAGACTTATTGGCCATATGTCCTGCTGTACATATTTTTACTCAATTTATTGCATGAATATATTTTGTGTAGGTTATAAAAATATATTGTGGGTTCATTATCTAGGTAAAAGGGGGAGTTTAGAGGCAAACGCATATATGCGGGTATTACTGTCGTATGACAGCATCTAGTTTATTTTAAATTTCTCGCTCCTTATGTTTTTTAAATTTTTATTAACATCTCTGTAGCCTCGACTTCACTGTGAGGTCACTTAAGCGCGATTGTCTTCTTGTATATCTATGCGTGAGTATACCTAAGCATATAACAATTATTATTTGGAAGACATGGACTCATCCCTGTCCATGTTGAGATTTTGAATGACATAGCTTTACACACACTTTAAAAGCAAAATACATGTAAAAGGTGAAGATAACGAACAGTGATCGAACTCAAAAAAAATATAAATAATATTTTGAGAGGGCATAAAACACAGAACCCCGTAAGGAGGAGTAAGCATCCACTGCAAGCCGATCCCAATCGCCGTGATCCCTGGATATTGATTTGGTTGACGGAACTTTTCGTAGTCAAATTCAGTATGAAAACAAAGGCCTAACAATTGGTTTGAAACACGTCTGCCAAAATACGACCCAATGATATGTCGTAGATGCTAAGAAGGTCATAATAACGACCATAGAATTTACGAAATGCCGACAATAAACGAGGTTGTTGAAAACTCTGAAACATCAACTTATCAGTGAGTAACATGCCTCGCCTTAAAGATTGATCGTACTTAGAACAATTACTTTGAGTGGCAAATAAGCCCGGAGACATAAACACCATATGCAGGTGATATCGGAATATTACTATATAAATAAGGAAAGTTTAGATTGGAAAAAATGAAGTCATCTTGTTTTTCATACAATAAAGCTATTAGTTGGCCTTTTTCGTCAATAAGCAGTAAAATATCCAAATATGTAACAGATGTGGCAGATTCTGTGGTTTCTTTTATTTCAAGTTCATTTGGACAAATCGAATCGACATGTAAATGAAAATAACAAATATGTACATATTTATTATTGCTGCAACTGGAAATATAACGATATCGAGCAGTGACCAGCCTAAAGTTTATATTATTTTAGCCAGAATGCATTCTATACGTTAATTTTGACTTACAAAAAGATACAAATGTTCCAAGGTCAGAAGAAATCAAGACTTCCATATGAGTGTTACGGTAGTAGAACATACATAAACTGTAACTTCTAAATTAACACCGCTTCCAATTTTAATCACACAAGCGATCTTTCCCCCTCACAATCTCTTAGCTGTTTAAAAGTAGATTTCCGTCCTGTAAAGTTCAGTAAGTGGTATGTTTTTTAATACCAAAAGTTACATGTATATATCTATTTTACAGCGATGACAGCAGCAACAACTTCTATATATTGTAAAAGGTAATCAATTATGCACGCATCCTTAATTGAAATTCAAACAAATCTTTTTAACTAAAAATAAAGAAGGATTAATGAAAGAATAGAATAATTTTTACATAGATTATTTATTGATACTGTATCATTGCTTTTATAGGCACGGTAATCCGTGCTGTTATAATCAGCATCTAATCCTAGAGAGTAAAAGCTGCAAAGGTATGTTTTTTGTCCTTTTTAATCAGGTGGTATTCATCCTTTTTTCTATTGGCAAAGGACATTGAAAAAAAAGATCATTAAATGTCTTTTTTCCTGTCACAAATACCATCTTAAACTAGGCATGTTTTATTATTCAACTTCAGTACTTTTTTAGTTAGAGATAAATGTTAAAGATGTAATTTGCAAAATGTAGATGTTCTTTTAAATCAAAATGTTAAGAAAAAATCTGACCTCAGATCACTCTCACTGCATAAAACTGCCCTGAAATTAGAACTCTTTGGAGGGCGTTTGAAGCTTTCACACACTATATTTTAAAAAGGATTTTTCATAGTTATTGCCACAAAAGCTCTCATATCATTGTTCTACATAATGCATTAACATCTAATCAAATACTGTAGAATGTCCATATGGCTCTATTGGATGGAACTGTAATCAAACTTGTCCGGCAGGATTTTACGGACGGCTGTGTCAGTCTGCCTGTGAGTGCCCCGCCCGTGATTGTCATCGTGTTACCGGGTGTACTACAGGTACCACAATTATTCAGAAATGCAATGTTTGATACATGTCTGATATAATGACAAAAAAATGAAATAATATTTCTTGAATATTATTATATTTAGATGAAGTTCATTCCCTTAGATATTTTAATTATTTGGTAAAAAAAAATATTTAGAAAACAGCTCTTATTGGTCTGAGAACACAATATATAGAGGGCATCAAGCGTCTACTTTTACGGATTGGTTAGTTCAAACTAAAGATTGGCAAACCAGGAAAATACCAAGCCTTAAACCATCAACTGTTTCTGAATGGTCGAATAAAACGACAGATATGCAAACTATGATAACTTCCAGTACGTACCTAGCAGAACGTCATGATGAATATAATAATGTTAACCAGCATGATGTCACCTGGTTAGCTGTAAGCTGTTCACTGATTGGATCCTTAGCAACACTCTTTCTAATTGGGTGTTTTCTATACTTCCGTTCTCGGTACTATCATACTTCTATCACGGTATTTTTTGACATATTTTATATTAACTAAAATGAATTCAGTCAGCAGAATTTGTCAAATCTATAAATAATGTTCAATTCTAAAACTGAAATAAAAATGTTATATTTCCCAGGATTTTTTTTTACTTTACTACTTTATTAACAATAAAAGTTTGTTTTTTTTAATTTTAGGCGGAAACTTAAGAAGAATGCTTCAAAAGGAATTCAGAGAATTTTATTTTCCCCTTTAGAACCAGGTGCGTTTGATTTATCGTCTTTCCTTATCAATAAAGTAAATGAATTTATGGTATCATTTGTATTCACATGAAGAAGATGTGGAAACTTTCACACGAAAAGAATTCTGCTGTAGTCCTCAATTCGATATTTAGATAAATCGACAACGTTTTATCATCTAACAATGTTCATTTTCAGTCCTATCTTGATATGATATATCCCTTTGAACTCAAAATTAAAGACAGTCGCCCGCGTGGCGCAGTGGTTAGAGCGTTCGATCTAGAGTCGCGGAGAAAGGAGTTTATCCTTACGTCGCGGGTTCGAATCCCACTGTGGGACGTGGAGACCGGTACATCGGATGAAACCGTATAAATCGAGGTCCCTTGTCGCAGTAGGTGCTGGCACGAAAAAGATCCCTCACTGCTCAATGGCCCTGAGTGTCGAGTATAGGTCAAAATTTGTAGCTCTCCACCTGCAAGTGGTGGCGTCTCCATATGAGTGAAAAATTCTTGAGAGGGACGTTAAAAACAACAAACAAACAAAATTAAACTTTAAGACACATCTGAAATGTCTGATATATCTGTTAAAATTTGTATATTATACTAAAACACTGCGTTAATGGCAACCTAATAACAAAACTATTTGATAAACGTAATAAGTTTAACATTTTTATCATCAGCGCGAACATTCCGTAGCAATACATCATTATCACCTGCATATGGAGTTTATTTCTTTTGGTTGATTTGATACGCAAGCATATGCTTACGTATGAAAAATTTCCAAAACGAGGCAAGCTTTTAACAAATAAATTGATGATACAGAGATATCAACAGTCTCGTTTCAATTCAATATTTCGATAATTCTATGGTCGATACACCTTCTTATCAAATACAATTCATTGTTAAGTCAAATGTTGACTGAAGTTTATCATACAAATTGATAGTCCATTATTGTCACACTGAATTTTCTATGGATTTTTCATTTGTCCTATCTTGACAAGGAGCACTTAATGTGCTTAGATTGTACAAATATACTAGAATTGTAAGGATTAATGTGCTTAAATTGTAAAGATGTGCTAGAATTAAGATGTACTTAAACAATCTTGACATATTCTCTCTCCTAGCTTAGGTCCGATAACTACTTATATACATTTACCGTTATTTTGAAACCACTTCTTTGTATAAATAAGATGAAGATAACAGAGAGCGGTTGGTCTATATAAAACTAAAGACAATACAAATCTGTGGATCTTGATCGCTTATTGAGGAGAACTTCCACTATTTCCCCTGTCCAATGTGTAACCCGAAAATTACCCTGGTGACCAAACATGTAGAGCACCTTCAGATGCTAAGTTCGGTGAATGCATTTAGTGAAACAACTTATTTTAGTTAGGCCAACGAGAGAGATTGGAATTGAAACCTCCGTTATGACAACAGTTTTGGTATACATAAGTATATATCTAATAGGAGAATTAGTAAAACTGAAGTAACCTGAAGTTTAATACTTGGATTTTAAGAGAAGTACAAGGTTTTGAAACATTACTTTATCTTTTACAGACAGGAACTTACAGCATCATCCCCAAGAAGGACACCTTGAACTTTCCACGCTCATCCCAACACAACAATGTCAAGATGACGATCCATATACAGAAATACGGTATTCCCAAATCGGCAGTGCATATGCAGAAACAGGCATGAATAAAAATGAAGAATGCAATAAAAAATTCAAACAACCTAGTCATGATACAAGAAATACAAACTTGTTTGAAAAATGTTCATTTGAAACAGAATATGATCACCTTAATCATAAAAAGAACTCAAGCATTCCTGGGATGTTACTTAAGGAGGGCAGAATTGTATGTAGTGACCTTCAGGAATATGCTGATCTCTCTGTTGAAGGTCGGTTACAACAAAAAATCCCTATTTATAATGGTACATGTAGTTCCAAATCTTTGACTTTTCCACGCAATTTGAAGAGGGTGAGTGAAAACAATCAATTAAAGACACACTCATACAGCCTATGTCTTGAAGTTTTGGAAAATCAGTTAAAGGTTGATCAAGATAAAACAGACTTAGAAGAAAACTGTGTGGTAAAAAACCATCCTGATAATCTGTTGACTGCATCTGATCCCAACGTTAAGGAGGAAGCTCGACCTTATAGTTTTGTTCATTCGTTGTTAAATAACGATTTGAGTTCAGAAGATGTGAAAACAAGTACTGCAGTATTCAGTATTATTGCACCGGATGGTAAGGAAGACTTAGAAAAAGAAGACCCAAGACGTTTGATTAACAGACCATACAGTTATGTTAAGAAATCATGAGGAGCAAGTCACACATAACTCAAAGAAAAAGCATGTAATTGTTAATTTTTCATAACGAAGATATTAATATAACATAGATAAAAGCATTGTAATCTAATGTTTTTGTTCGGTTTAGTGCACTTCACTGATGATGACGGGATGAATTTGGTAAAGATAAATTAAAAATAGCAAAAGGAACATCTAAGAAATTGTAAAAATTCTTCAAAATCATACTTCAGTTTTGAATATTTTTAATATTCCCAACAACCAAATGAATTTGAATTACCATATCTATATTGGATTCCGAAACATTATAAAAATCCTTACAAACAAAGATACATTACGGGTTCCAGTAAATGTTCTACCAAGCCTCTTTCTTTTCTCCTCACTAAGATATTAACAGTAGTGAAGGAGAAACTTCAAGAGTACTGATCAACAATATATTCGAGAAGTGGTGTAAATCAGATTTGGATACTAAAAAAATTCCAAGGAACTTTTGGGACATTTGAAATCACACAATTTTACCAAAATCAACAACATAAAAACTTACGACTTTTCAACTTTACATGTATAAACAACTATTCCCCACGATAAATTAAAGTCCAGACTTTCTGACATCCTTGACAGCTGCTTTTTTCAAAAAAAATGTTGTGGCTTTCAACTCGACATTTAGATATATCGACGACGTATTGTCAATAAACAATGATTATTTCCATTCTTATATCGACACGATATATCCCGTTGAGCTTGAGGTAAAAGATACACAGAGTCTGACACATCTGTTTCATATTGGGATATTTTATTTAAAAAAGATGTTAATGGTAATCTAACAACCAAGCTTTATGATAAACGTGATGACTTTAACTTTTCAACTTCCTTTACTTGTGCAGCAATATACTCTTACCACCTGCATACGCGATTTATCTCTCTCAGTTTATTTGATACGCTAGAGCATGCTCTACGTATGAACAATTTCTAAAACGAGATAAGTTAATGACAAACAAGTTGATGAAACAAGAATATCAGCAGACTCGTTTAAAGTCATCATTTCATAAGTTCTATGGTCGATACAATGACCTTGTCAGCAAATACAATTTCATTAATTCAAATGCTGACTGACTTTTTTATACTAATTGTTAGACCATTTTTTACACACTTAATTGTCGACGGATTTTCCCGCTATTTCCCGATCATGACAAGGAGCACATGGCGGGTGTGACAAGTCGATAGGGAATGCTTACACCTTCATGGCACCTGATCCCACTTCTGATGTCTTAGAGGTCCGTGTTTGCTCTGTTCCTATTTTGTAATGTGTAATGGACTTTTGAGCTAGAATACTGTTCGTTATCTCCACATATTTCATTCAAACTACCTGTTCATAATACGAGGGTTGTCCAAAAAGTTCGTGGACAAATGCTTAATTTTCTTTATTAAGTCCGCAATGGCAAACATTTACGATAATATCTTAATATAAATCATGATTGAGTAAATGTACAAAAAATTAAAACAATACACACTATTTACTGAACATTATAGGTGTAAATACTTTGTATATGCAAGTCGCACGGGCCAGTCTGACTGTACGCTTTTTTCATGATAACGTCAGAAATATGAATTTTGAATTTTTATCCAATGTTCATAGACGCACGCTATTTGTCTTTATTATGCCACATTGCCAAATGTGTGCAATAATATTTATGCATAGATTATAATTAATTTAAATTTTAAAATTCAAAACAATACACAATAATTTACGAGCGTCATTAATATTAACACTTCGTAAACACAGGATGCACAGCCCAGCCCGACGGCGCTATATTTATAACAACGTCATGAATAGGAATATATCCTATTTTCATCAAATAACAGTAGTTTTCCACTTCTTGTAGCGTCTCCGAAATTTTACACACCGTTGAAAAATCGTATACACCAATTACAAATCACTAGACTAAACATTTTCCAATAAATTTAAGTTGTTTGAATAACTATTTTGTTTTAGACGACGTTTCAACCATATTAACTATAATTGTATGATTGGACGCTGTCCCGTTCGGATGGCCGACGTCGCTTTTTCTGTCAATTTTTGAAACATACTTCTTGCGGTTTTCACTTAATATTTTCATTGTCTATTTAGTAAGCGATACTAACGGTATCAGAAAATAGCGATAACCGCTTTATTTGTGATATATTAAATTTTTATTCAGCTTTGACTCGTTTTAAAAAGAAAATAATCATTTCAATCAGATCACTTTATTTAAAAGTTCATGGCATTTTAACCCTGGTCCGTGCGCACTATCGGCGACCTTTAATGACCGAGATTTTTACAAAAATATTAAGTTCAAACAATAAAAACCAAATTATTCCGACTTGGATTTTCATGACTAATATTTTGGTATACAATAAGCATATCTTGGACCATTCATTTTGACAAAAACGCCATTGTCCACGAACTTTTTGGACAACCCTCGTATTTATATGTAAATGTCTCTCCTAGTTTCTGGTGTTTAGATATCCAAAAAATCTGCCGTTGCCATGGAACTAAAACTGGGTACTGTGGTTTCATCAATTTTCGTTGGCATCAATTTTCGTGTATTTTGTAAAACAGACGTTTTCGAGGATACGTAATTTCGTGGACAAAAGCATTGCCTATACAAATGAATAACATTTTTCGTAAATCAATGAACATTTAATTTCGTGGATCTGCCCAACAACGAAATCCTTGAAAATTGGTGCTCAACGAATATTGATGAAATCACAGTAATTTATTTCTAAAAATTTGAAATTTTTGCAGAAATTTAAGTGAGTATTTGCTCTCTACATTCTAATCCAATATTAAGCTGCTAGGGTAAAGGGGACACACTTATGCTTTGGCTTGCAAAAGCAGTGTTTTCGTATTGTTTGGTTCTGTTTTTTTTTTCTTTCACTTTGAAGAACTACTCGATTCGACTTTTCACAAAACGGGGTGTGGAATCTTTCAATAAGATATATTTCAGAATTTTTAGCACGCACTCTTTGTAAAAAGGAATCATCCATAATTAAGATACTGGGCCTTTAGAGGGCAAACAATGTATCAAATCACTAAAGGTAGCCTGACATACATTTTAAAATTCGTTAACAAATAGGTACCTCTGCGAGAGACGGACGATTTTTTGAGTGACTAATTCTACGATGTCCTATGAGTTAAAATTTTGGGTTGAGACTCGGTGATTTGATCTATATTTTTTAAGATTTCATACTAAATTTGACAATTCTTGAGTCGAAAACACTCACATTCCTTTTAAAATATCAGTTGGCTTTTAGCCAAAACATTGTCTAAATGATTTAAGCATTAATGAACATTTATTTATTTTGAGATATAACCGAAGTAAGCTTTCTTCGTGTTTTCTTTTTGTGTCACCTATAAGAAAATGACCTCTTACACAAAGAGGATGATGCTATTTTCAACCAGCCCAATTTGGTTTGTTCTGACATGCCCTTATGTAGCAGCGACCAATTCTAATTTCAACTGAAAGTTTATACTTTGATATCTACATAACCTGATAGCCTTATTAAATAATTGCTAAAAATTAAATATAATTAAATTACTTTTCCTTCAATAATCGTTAAAATGAAGTAAAATATTTTGAATTAGATGTCATAACCACCTTTTCAGACTTTATAATTCTATCCTCTTTTTAATAAGCTCATTGAATATTTGCTTTTAAATTTTGCTATTGGTTAAAAAGGCTTAATTAATTTTAGGATTTGCCAAACACTTCACATTTTATGTTTATTCTTCATAGTCCTAATGCTAATACAAACCAATATCTGACCAGTTGTGACCCTAACGTTGAATCATTAACCATACAACACTTATTAAATAAGATCAGTAGCCGGTTGATTTATGACGTTTCATGGTGAAAAAATTATTTTAAATTTGACACCGCAGGACGGTCATGTAGATAGACAACTATTAAGCAGACAATTCACTACAGCATAAACATTAGTAATAAAAAAAATATCACATCTATGTACGTGTAATCTCATAAACTATAATGCAACTGTAAAGAATATCGATTGCTGGACATAGGAAAAGATATTTTTAGTCGGAGGAGTTGAAAAATTTTCGTGTTCATATAAGCTTTCCAGGAAAATAAAAATTGTCATTTAAATCTGGAATTAATAATCAGCTAAATTCAATCAGATATGCATTTTTCCTCAATTCAAAGCATATTATTTAATAGTAGCTTTCCGTCCTGACAACGTTAACATACAATGAACAGTATATGGAAGGAAGAACTGCGTCTGCATTCCATTGTTTAAAAACGATGACAAAAACAACGGTGTCAACATTCTGTTACAAGTACTATGTTCTTAGTGCATCTTTAATTCTAATTCGACACAGATTTCATTTATTTCGTTCTATTACAAGATTACAAATACGTTTTCTTTTCTAGAACATTTTGTAATATCTTCCTTTAATTTTGTAGATCTAACAACCAGTGCTGCTACAATCAATACCTAAACCAAAAGAGTAATATCTGCACTGGTATGTATTATCTGAGGAACTTTCTTAAACATTTCTTCTTTGTACATTCCGTCAATTAGTAACTGTGATTGTGAATCAGTGTATAGATCATTTTTGCTAGGATCACAGTTTTATCTTAATATTTTGAAAATCCTTACTCGGTGGTGACTTCCGAGAAAAATGGTAAAGTATGAACATCGTCAAGTTCAGCATTTTAAATCAATTTATAAATCAATGTTTTAAATACATGATTATTGAACAATGTTTGTCACAATTAGATGTACACAAATGATTTTATATTGTTGTCCATTCTTAACTTATTAGTATAGCTAGAGAAGTTTTCAAGTTTATTGTATTTAGTATGTCAACCTGGATCATTTGGATGGAACTGTAAGCAGAAATGTAAGAAAGGATTTTATGGACGCTTGTGTCAGTCTGTCTGTGAGTGCTCTTCCTCTTCATGCAATCGAATTACAGGGTGTACCACAGGTAATAAACATCATTTAATGCATCCCTGATGTAAACAGAGAATAATACAAAATATGTTTAAGGAGAAATTATTTGTGAAATCTTTTCTGCGTAATGAATTTTTT